AAAAAAAATTACCTGTGATGTTTTCCTTAATACAATCCGGCAGGAATGGGACGATCTCGATGATGGTGTATTACTTCGGTGCATCAATAGCACGCCGAACCGGATTCAAGCATGTATCGATGCAGAAGGAGGGCACACAAAATATCAATTAATTATTAAAAAATGGTCCGTTAGTATTATTCTTTTAAATAAAAAAAAAAAAATAAACATTAAAAATAAGTTTATACATACCGTCGAAAACTGTCTCCGCCATTCCTTTCGCTGTAAACGAGCTATTTTGGTAAAGATTTTCTTCATTGGTTAAGAACGAATTGTGAATTTATGGAGGGCAAGTTTTTTGCCCCACACAGTATATTACATTAAAAATAATTGTAATTAATTATACGAGGAAAATTATACAACACACATGACAAAACCAAAGAGCAGAAAGCAATAAATAAAAATAACTTACAAGATCCACTGCACTCAGAGCATTATGAAGGTAGGCAATTCCAAGAGGCTAGAAGCCAGGTCTTGGAACGCAGTTTAATTGATCCGTAAGTAGCTAATTCCTCTTCCAAAAGAAGCAGAACCTTACCAAATAAACCATGCGCTTGAGTAGGTTATCGTCAACCTTCCTGAAGCGTCTACTTGAAGCTCAACACAACAAAATTGACTGCATTTAAGACTGGTATCCTTCAGTAAATACACGGTCTCTCCGCTACTTTCCTGTATAGAATAAAAAAAAATTGATTCAAACAACGAAAAAATAACCATTTAACGACTTGGTCGTGTCAATAAAACAAAGAATATTAACTGTTAAATAAAATTCGTCACTTCAGTATTCTTTCTTTTTTTTAGTCTTGTCAATATGAGTTTGTTGTTTGTCATGGGAAGAATTAAATCTTTTGGGAACGTAATACAAATAGTCTAAATATGACGAACTTTCACATTGTAAAATGGTAAAGTCAAAAATTTGTTATACGTTGATGATAATATATAGTTACATCTGCTGACCTTATGTAACGATATACATGTTTATATATATTTGGGTTTTGTCCATGCACATGGATTCCAACTAGGATTGGATCGGTCATGATAAAGATCGAACTTAGACCGTGTTTACCTGGAATCGAACCGAAACCAGATTAACCAATAACGATTTAAATCTAATTCAGACCTGTCCTAAGAAAGAGTTATGCGATATTTTATTAATACGGTCTATATGGAGACACGATAAAGGTTTAAAAGGGTAAGCTCTTCCCAAGACTCGTCAAATCTTTTTTCAATCAAGTCGAACTTTTGAGGATTTTAAATTCTAATAAAAAAGTAATAAATTAAATATAACGAAAATAAGTAAAATTAATTAATAAAGCGAAAATAACAAATAAAAAATAAAAATAATTAAATATAATTTAAAAAATAGTATTATAAAACAAAAATAAAAACGAAACGAAATCCAATATAATTATTTTAGCATTCTTAATATGACATATATAATTGATATAATAATTATATTTTTGTTACTTTTCCGCTATCACTGGTTAGTAGAACCGGTCTTGCGACCTTCGGTCTATATTCTGAGAAACGGCCCGGTCTGGTTGATAATATTATGGCAGACGGCGAGGAATTTAGCAAATGATATGGTAAAAGTCGAAACCCACTGCATTTTCCGATTTGACTTCGACGATTTTATAGTTTCGACTATAATAGTTTCGGCAGTTCCATCGAAACCTAATTTAATGCAGCAATACAGTTTTTATATAGTTACGATAAAGATTTAAGAATAAACTTTTATATAAAACTAAACATTTTTTTAGACAAGACCGATTAAAGATCGGTCTTTGAACCGGTCCCAGGACTAACTCATGGATCATTTATTTCTTTCCTTTACTCACCAACAAATCGCATCCGCAAACAAATAGAACCAGAGTCGGTGTACGAGCAAGCGATCAAAGAAACGCGTCATAAAGCTGTAAGTTAATTTTTAACAACAATCAAACTTTGGATGAAAACTTGAAACACTACATAATGAAAGGAATAACATTTATCGCAAATTAATTGAAGGGTACATTCATGATCCAAACAATCATAAGGGAGGCTTACTATTAAAATCGAGTTACAAACATAGATTCGTAAAGTGATTTTAATAACAATCCTCCCACATTGTTCAATGGCTAAATATGGCTTTGAATGTAGATATATCAAGAAAGTCTTCATGAAGGATGTATGAAATTCGCGATAGATAATTGATATAAGCAAAATACTAAAGTTTTGTGCTCACTCACGAAACTTTTTTATTCACTTTAGACCAAATAATTGAATAGACTGATTAATAGAATTTATGTCATGATCATTGTATCAGTTCCGACAACAGAAATAAATATTATCTTTTATTGATCAAATAGGAATTTATAAAATCTTTGATATTTGTACAATGCCTTAGCATGCCCAATTCTAACTATCTTGTGAGCGAATTTTCTATAATCTATAGTAGTATAGTACCTAGAATATTAAATGAATTGATTAATTACTGTTTACTAATCAAATCGAACCTTTTTTAAACACAATATTAAGATCACGTGAATTCTTTTGGCGCAGTATATTTTTTTATTTCACTTTAGGCGTTGAATAAAATTGAAATGAAGTTTGAACAACAAAATAAAGTTAAGAGAAAGGATAAAGTTTAGAGAACTATTGTATATTGTTTATTGAAAAGAAATCTTTAATACAACAAACCAAATATCACCTTCATTTAATTATTCGCTTTAAGAACTGGGCTTGATAATTTTACATATTTTAAATTATAAAAGTAGATATAGGAGAATAAATAGTCGCGATTAGAGAAAACAAATTATTTAAGAAAGAATTATAGTATCAAATCAATATTTGTAGGTTTATCTGAGAATTTCATGGGAACGAATGCGATTACACAACGAACGCCTTATGTATATCTGTGTGTCTCTTATTGTGCCACACGAAACATTGCGACACATTTGGCTTTTTTTACATAGCCATATATGGATGAAAAGAATTACAATTTCAATTTGTAATAAATAAGCGAATTTCATTCAATTTTGTTTTACTAGCTTTTACTAGCAAAACCGTTAATTTGTTGCTATACCAATGGTGTTGGATGTTATCGAAAGGTTTCTCAAAGACCTTAATGTTCGTGATTTACTTTCAGCACTTCTAGTCAATCGAGAATGGTGTCAAGCAGCCGTTCCATTATATTGGAAAGCTCCATTCAGTTATACAAAGAAAAGAAGTAGGCAAGCACTAAAAATTTATGAATCGTTTCTTGAACAAGAAAACGGATCTGCAGTTTATAAAAATCAACCACTTTACGACTATCCCATTTTTCTCAAGGAACTCAATTATACAAACTTACTTTTCTGCAAAGGATTTTATGAAGGTGCCAGAAATGTTGAAGCATTACTTCAAATGGTAACAAATCGTGAAGTTCGTCTGAATACATTTATTATGGAAAATACCGGTACAAATATCGAAAGTATTTATGGATTTTGGACAAATTCATGCTATGCACCAATATTCAGTACACTCGTTCACGTCGAAATACACGCACCTTTTCCCAAATACAATGTCATAAAGGCATTAATGAATAATTGCACAAGACTGGTACGCTTATTTTCTAAATGATTTTATCGCTATGCAGCAAATTCAAATTTCGAATTAGTATACAGCATTGTACTTTCTGAAAGGAACATAATATTGAAATTTGTCAAAATTGGTGCGTTGTAGAAAATTGTGTAATACAATTTAATATGTTAATATTTTAACACAAATATATTTCATTCTCTTTAGTCTCATATTGATATAAATCTTCATGACAATTCTGTTGAACGTGCCGAAAAGTCGCTCGATTTTCTTGAAGAACTCATCACCGCCCAGACATGCCGTTTAAATCTTCGGTTAGTATTTCCAAACGGGTCTGGGAAAATGCCAGTCGAAAAATTATGTTCAGGGCTTGAAACCTTCAAACGTCTTGAACTCGTAAAATGGAACTTTGATGGATGTGATTGGGGTTGGTTGGAAAATTGCCCTAATTTGACCGAATTTGCAATTACAAACCCAATTCCAACTCAGGTTACTAGCATTTTTGGCTCTAATTTTGACAATTATCGTTTACAAATGTCGAAAAATAAAAAGGTCGTAACTGCACATTAGCATTTTGACAAAAATTCTTCAAAGTTTTACTTTCACCCAGATAAAACATTGATGGAGCCATATGAAGACTTCTTTGGAATGTGGAATTAAGGACCTTCCAATAAATTTTATGATTAATTATTATTATGAAGGATTGAAATTCCAGCTTCGTTTTTCATAGAATCTTGAATTTCAACAGCTATAGTTTTAATTTATTTAATAAAAAAAAAAATATTAATCTAAAACTATTATCGTATCACGGCAACAAGTAAATATATGTATAAATTGATATAAATTTTGAACTATAAAAAGAGACGGATGAGTTATGACCTACATTAATTTTGCATCTAATTTTGGATTTTACTTTTAGTTATCAAAACGAGTTAACACCTTTTTGAGAAAAAAAAATAAATAACAACGTTTGTACTCACCGGAAACGCCTTAAAGATGTTCTTGTTTTGAAGAGAATGATACCGCATATTAAAGATGATGAACAATTTAAGCGAATAACACATTATGACACATTGGATATAGAACAGTGATGGCAAATGACCAGGTCATTTGATAATTTTGAAATGACCTCTGAATGACCATCGAATGACCTAGTCATTTG